GGTCAATGAAAAAAAGAATGTGGACCAGGGCAATACTTTGAGTTTACAGCTTGTCCAAGGTCATTCATTATTAATACTATTAGTAATATCTTCGTTAAAGACTTTGATGGCGACAGCTCAAACATGAGAGGTTGAGCTTCATTAGCTCCACCTTGCGGAAATTCCGGATACTATTATTTTAATTGCGGTATTGTAAGAGAAAGTACGGTAACTCGCGGTAGACCGCGTAAAGCACACCGCAAAATAATGCGGTATCGCCCGCGCATTTTGAATGGCTGCATCTGTATCAACCAAATGAACTAGATGGGCTAAATGGCCTCCTCTTTTATGTTCCTTAGTCAGTGCCATTTTGTTTGCATTCCAGCTGAACTTTCAAGAACTTAAATTCAGTATTTGAACTATTTACTTGAATCAACTTTTATGGGAAATCTGAAGATTTTTTTAGTTGAAATGTTGTTACAAAGTTCAGGTTAATAAGGTAACATGAGGTATTTAAAATTCACCACAGCATGGGTTATGACTCATTTGAAAACTTATTACTTCCCAAATTTACAATGACAACGGAGGACAACTGGTAGGTGGAAGCTACCCTCCAAAAAAACATGCATTTCACTAAAATGAATATGGGTCTGTCAACAACAGTGTGGACTTGCAAGGTTGAAGAACTGAAGAGATGTATTGTGATGGAGCCAACATTTATCCAACAGTAGCTAAGTGCTTAGTCAGATCAGTTCAATAGAAGACAAGATAGCCCAAGATATGGACATATGCACTTCCCCAGCAGCATCTGAGTAATCCCAAGGTCTATACAGACCAAATCTATGAATTGTTACCTTGCAACATCAGGACTGAAGATAATTTCCAAAGGAAGGAATCAAATCATCTAATCCTAAAAATCAGCCCACCTGAAGAGTTCATGCATGGGAAGCACCAAGGCAAACCAAATCAAAGATATTAGTGGTCACACTGTGAGTCCTAACGCCCCAGTACAGTGATGGGGACACTAAACTCTAAAAAAGGCACCGTTCTTTGGATGAGACATAAAACCAAGGTCCTGACTCTCTCTGATCATTACAAAATCCCAGGGTGTTTCTCGAAAAGAGTAAGGGTGTTACCCCCATGTCCTGGCCAAATGTCTCATTGGCCTTTACCAATCATGGCCGTCTAATAATCCCCATCTATGAATTGGCTTCATCACTCTGTTATCCTCCCCACTGATAGCATACTGGCACACCTCAGCTGCCTTCACATCGTTCAGGTGGGGCTACACACTGGTGATGGTGAAGGGGAGTCCCCATAATCTGTAAAGTGCTTTGAATGGAGTGCCCAGAAAAGCACTATAGAAGTGTAAGGATTATTATTATATTAGTTTACTTTGCAAGAACGGTACATTCATTACTCATTGTCATTCCAAAGTCCTTGTCATTTGCTAGCCGAATGACTTCAGCTTTCCAGAGCTCTTAGAAAATACACATCAGTTTTCAAAGGATGATGAAAAAAAGACAAATGCAACTAAATGGGATCTGGCCTCCATTATCTGGTTTACATCCAAGTTCCCATGAACAAGCAGTCAGTGCAATCTTTATGAATGTTTCACACTTCCTGGTGGAAATGTGAAAACCCACTGACCTGAGCTGTGACCACCTTATCTCCACTGGTGGCGCTGGCCAAGTCTAGTGAATGCTGTAGCTCCTTGGTAATAGATTCCACCGCAGTATTCGGAGACACCAGGCCACTGGATTCAACTGTGTCTCCAAGGACTGTAAACAAGAATGGCAGAAAAACTGGTCTAACGGCACTTATTTCCATGCATGGCAAGCCACTGGAAGCAAGTCACTAAAGAACCCCATTAGATGCTGTCCCCTAGTCTAATCGCACTGGCCACTAATGCTTTTCACAAAGTTGTTCAACGCTGCAAGTCAAAAAGGCTTGTTTATTAGTAATGCTATAAGGGTAACTGAAAACAGTGTAATGTATGCTTGACCACATTTCGCATGAAATAGGCTTTCCCACATATTTTGTTATGTGCACAACATAACAAGTCATTAGAAAATCAGAATAATAACCACTCTTTTTCCTGTATAACATTATCTGGAAGAAAACAATACAGTAAGGTTCCAGGATAAGTTTATGATCTGCCCTTCTTTTCTCCCAAGTGAGGTCATCACACTTAATGGAATTGTTTTTCTGTATACAGTTAATTCCTGTGCTTTACCAACAAAATAAATACAGAATGGATTTCAGCACTGCATATTAAGGGGATGCTCAATAAGATGTAGAACCAAACTTTTATCACATAAAAATACAACCACTCCATTGGAGTGCCTGGAAATGCTGTACACACTGTAAAGAGCCATATAATTATGATGAAGACTTGCAGAAAACCAAGAATTTGAGAAACAATCAGAAGCTAAAACAAAAAAGAACATGTTAATGGCAATTTAGGTTTTAACCTAGATTTAATTTTTTTCAGAACCCGGAAAAAAACATGAAGCTAATTCAATTTTTTTTTTCCCCCATCTGATTACATGCAGTAGAAATTGAAGTGTGTGGGCTGTATTTGAGCACCTGTCTGTGGGGGTGTGAGTGAGTGTGCGGCTTCTGAAAAGCCTCTGCAGAGGATACAAAGCAACATTAATTATTCATATTGAATATCTGCTTAGGTCCAATGAACAAAGAAAAAAAAACAGACGAGAGTCTGTCTACAGAGAACCCATCCCATTAAAGGCTGGAAGGTCATTTCAAACTTTCTACTCAATAAGCTTTGTCCTCAGAGGACACCCGAAGTGCTCAGATTCCCCAGGAAACTGAAATTTACAGCTGGCAGCGCAATCTCTAAATTGTTATGGGAGGAGCTGGACAGAAAAACTAGGAATAAAGTAGTTGTGACTGCTAGCCTGGAGGGGTTTTATAAAAAAAACAACTGGATTAATGTGTCAGGAAAATATATCTTTTCCTGAATTTTAATTTCAGAAGGTCAATACATTTTCATATAAATCGGTACTTGTGCAACCTTCTTATTCAGTCATTCCTGTATGATTTGCGATCTCTTGTATGCACCCCTTTTTATGCGTGTAACTACAGGTAACTATTTCCATCTTTCGAAACGCGTAGCCATGGCAAACGTTATTCAATTTCATCAGCAACCATTATGATTGTTACATTATGGTGCTTAACAGGCATGGTTTTGTTTTTAAATGGCTTTCATTTCAGAGGAAATAGTGCAAGATCTCACTGGAAACAAATTATAACGCTCCAATGCAGCATGTTCATATATAGCTTTCAATGGCTGAAAAAAATGCCCTTTTATAGAAAAATAAAATCAACCAGTGTATAAAAAGTAATAATTGGCATGTTAAAGCCATTTTGGAAATATTCACCCATGTATCACAACACTATGGAATGAGTGCTCAGCACAAACTCTCTCACCTTCCAGCCCGGACGGCCGCAGTGACTCTGGTCCGAGGTCACTCTTCTTCTTCCGGGGTGGAGGAGCGGGGCGCGTCGGGGGGGGAGGCCGGGGTGGAGGGGCGCCCGAAGGCGGACGGGGTCGTGCCGGAGGGAGTTTCTTGGTACTGGCCACAATGTCAGGCTCCACGGTGAACTGCCTGGGGGGTTTGGCTGGGGCCGAGGAGTCTTTGTCAGGCAGGTCATCTGCCATGGTGAACTGCTCTAAAATGTCTGCCTTTCTGGGTTCCGGGACTCCGTCGGCGCGGTTGTCCGGCACTAGCGTGCAGGGCTTCTCCTTAGCGATGGCACTGGTGATGTCTGGAGGCTTCATGGCCTCCGACATCCGTTCAGTCTTGGGATGGTCCTCTACTGGACAGGGAGTCTGTGTCGCATCGTTGCTGAGCCCGTCCTGAGAGTCCTGACCTTGGCTGCGGTCCACAGGCTCTTTGTCGCCTTCGTGAGGCAGCTGCTCTTTTACAGACTCTGCATTCCTGTTCTGCAGCTCTGACCCTAAGTCTGAGGGACCTGGACTCTCATCTCCAAAGTCTTGTTTAACTGCCACCAGCAATGAATCCCCAGTAGTGCTGTCTTTCTGGCTTTCTTCAATGATGCTGTCGATAATCTGTCAGGGGAGACAACGGTTAAAACTCCTGCTCTTTACAAACTTTTAAAATATGTATTTCAGAATTGAATTATTATAAATTCCTGTACAAACCAAACTATATTTACACACCTTGTACATAATACCACAAAAGAAGCAGCACTGCCTTTAAGCCCATAAATCACAACAACTTTTTTTGTTAGGTTACTTAAGAAAAAAAACTTTTAAAAACTAACCCACATTGCATCAGTAAGATCAGTAGATAAAATATTGTATACTGTTTTGAGGAGCATGATACTGATTAAAAAAACAAAAACAATTTTGCTTCTTCCAAATCAGTCAAAACAAGAGTGAGATCAAGTCCGTTCCGAGGCTTAAATGAACATCCTGCACTTACTGTATAATAAAAGTAATGAATCATTTATGTTTTTTAACACGGGAGACTACGGAAGAACCATAATTCGAGCATTCACAATCATCAAACACATGTGTGACGCCAACCCCAAACAACTTTTTCATAATCAATGGTAAAACACAAACCATCACGTGGAAATGCATATTAAACCGCACAGCAAGCACTTTTTATATAAATATGTTGTGGGAGTCTAGGGCAAGCCACTACTTTGATGACAAAGCTGATAAAATGGCTTCCATCAAGAAAAACTGAATGAGATCCTCCAATTAATTGTCTGCTAGCAACCAAATTAGCTAAATGAGCTGCAATAACCTCCGACAGTTTGTAGCCTCTATTACGAGCTTATGTTCTTAGACACCGGCGTCATGAAGGCTGCTGTCTGTCTGATGTCACTCAAATCTGATGAGAAAATAAGAAAATCCCAACTACTGTACAGGGACGTGTACCACATTAATATTTTAGAGAAGTGTACTGTATTTCTCCAGCAGAATGGAGTAACACAGAACATGTTAGGGGCTGTCAACATGAATAACAGGTGACATCTAGGGAAACAGAATCCGGTCTCTTACAAAGTACACCTTGAGATACAAGGAGGACCTTCTGCCTAGATACATATATTAATGGCAAAGCCAGTTATGTCAAATGTTTTAAAAAATTTAAAAAGGTGCGTATATACAGACAATTTCAATTTTTATTTCTTTGCAGTTCATTGGGATTTGAAGGACCGAGACAATACAGTGGAACACTATGGTCACCACAAGCAACAATCCAAATGTGTACTGAGAGAGGCTTAACCTCTGATAACACAGCGATGCCGAGTGATAGCAGACAGTGAATTAGCACACAGCTCTGGCTTCAACACAGAGATCCAGACTTGAGGCAAAGATCAGTAATTGGATTTTGTAAAGCAGCTCAGTCAGTCCTCAGTAAGGGTAGTGCACAGTTTAGTGAACAGTTCTCACTCTACAGTGCAATGTGAAATTGTGAATTTAAAGGGAGAATAAAAGTAGTTGCTTTTCTCCCCAAAATGCTGGACATTATGACCATACCTTTAAGCTGTGACTAATAACTCACTGAAAGCAAAGCAGAACCAAGCCTCATTAGTGGAAACTACATGGGAAAGGTCTTGGCAAAAGTATAATTCTACTATGGTAATCTAAGATAATATAAAACACTTTCTTGGGAAAGCCATCTGATACTTTAATGAGAGATGATTTTATTTGGTGTAATGTCTTCTAAAAGGAGGGAACTGTGCCAGGTAGTCCATTTTGTGAGAATGTGAAGAGGTGTTTTAGAAACACAGAAGGAGAGTCGGAGGAGAAGAGGGGAGCTCTTGAACTCTCCATCGAGAGCAGAGAGCCAAAGCCTGCTCGCTCAAGAGCAGGCCAGCCTTGGCTTTAATGTGCTGCAGCAGGTCTGCTCGCTAGCACGGCCAAGAAACCAACAGAGCCAAAATATGGACCTAACATCTCAGAAATAACAGAACACTGGAATAAAAAATGGATGGGCGACAAAACCAGCCAAGAGGCAGGCTGCAGTACTGATCCTTGATAGCATTATCCCCCTCTCCTTTCACAAAGGCCTCCTAAACTGAAATGGGCCCACACAGCACCACGGCGATTGGCCTGTGTAATGCTGATGACAGAGCTCCTCCGCAGACACAAACACACACAAGAAATGCCACAAGTGCCCCGGGTCACAGTAGCACATTGGCACCATTAAGGTCTCATTACATCTTTTACAGCAGCTCAGAGGAAAATGTGTTTATAGCTGCAGCAGATGAGGTGTGAAAAGACAGCTTGATTGAAGATCTTAAGTGGCCCATTGCATGGTGCTGTTAGATGAGGCACGCACCAGAGGATTTGCCATTTCACTTCACAACCGCAGTAGACTCCTGATGTTGCTCTCAATAAAGCTTAAGATGGGAACAATGACACTAAGTAAATGCACAGTCTTCACACGTTCTAGTTCTATCAGGGTGAAATCATCAAGGGGCACATTCCCATTTGTCCCTCTCACTTGTTATAGATCATTGGGTTGGGATCCACAGTCCTGCACTCATTTCCTCTGAAATACTTAAGACACTTCACTGTCCAGTTCTTTTAACCTAATTTCTGTCTGTAACCACTCTGCTTGCTGGTTTAGGTTTCGGCACGCAGTGCATCATTTCCATCAACCTCTTCACACAAAACTTCAAGCAAGTCTCATCAACCTGCTGATTGAGACTTTGCTCCCTTATTTGACTAAACAGCTCTTAATAGTTGATGATCAACAAACACAGGTGGGAATGATGCCATCAATTACTCCTACAGCGAGTCATTGTTTTTTCTTCTGCTCAAGTCCGTCATTTTGTCCATTTCTTTCATTCATATTCCAACCAGTTGATCAAATACAGAGTTGCGGGGGAGCCAGAGTCTATCCCAGCAAGCAAAGGGCACTAGGCAGGATATATACTGGGTGGGACGCTAGTCCATTGCAGGGTAGACACAGACACAAACATGCACATGCTCACACCAGAAGCCAATTAAGTACCAATATGTGTTTGGACTGTGGGAGGAAACAGGAATGAGTTATATTTTAGATGAAAGAGAGTCGTATTAAAAGGCACTCATTATCACAGTAGTCATACCAATTACACATTTCATGCAGATTTTTAATAATGAAAAGCAACCTCAAAAGAGGCCTCAAACAATGAATTGAATTAGCTTGTGATTAAGAACTAAGCTGGAACAAAAAAACACCAGAAAAAGGTACTCCATTCCCATGCGAGAACCACTGCAGTACGTCAAATGTCACATTGCTGCCTTACAGTCAATAATGCAAGGCAGCACACTAATGAACTCAAAGGTAAAAAACAAAAACCACAGTCCAAAGAGATCTTGTTATTTTTTCTGCTGTTGCAGTTCACCATATCAAGAAACAGTCTCTTGGTAGTTCATTTGTAAGGCTAAAACAAAAAATTAAAAAGACCTGAAAAGGCATTTGAATTCCTTAGATTTCATTATGTTGTTTGGTGTATATATCAGCTATGCATTTTGTTTTGTTTTTTACCTTTTGAACTATTCCAGTAGCTTACTGCTACAGAGCGACATTTAAATTTTCTCCTCTGCGTACTAATCGGACATGAGGGAAAATACAAGTTTTAAAGACTTCTTTTATATATACGGTATAGACAATTCAGAATATAAAATAGTAGATAACGCTCCTACACTGTACTTATCAGCTCATGCAGCTTGTTTAAGTCTGATGTAATTTGTCTCTGAAAAAAATAGCATTATACAGTTTTATATAAACTTTTTCTTAAAAAAAACTCTTGGTTTTACAGTACATTTTTGGAAATGAAAGAATATGTGAAAATGCCTTGTTTGAAATCTCATCCCAGCAACTGTAGTTTTCAAATGTGCTAAGAAAATATTTGCATTTGAGATGAAGACAATGACAACCCGCAAGTAAAAAAAAACAAACCACACTACTTTACACTTGCTTTGAAAAGTTTTCAGAAACTGCTTTAGGGGGATTTGTTAGCATGGAAAAAAATGAGAAGAAAGGAAATAAATTATAATATAAACAGTAAGTATATATAAAATAAAGTATATAAAGGGAAATAAGTCATAATAAAGCAGGCTCCTTTATAGTAATACAACAAATAATAAAAGTTCAGGTGGGTAGCTGCGTCAGCATGCATAGGCTGCAAAGGAATAAGCAATAGGTTTATTCCATGCTGAAAAAAAGAAGAAAGAGAACACAACGTTTCGGCCATGGAGCCTTCTTCAGGTGTGATAAAAGTAATAATTAGCAAGGCTCTGCCACTGTCTTCAAGCAAACCCTAGGAGCTTGGTAGATGTTTTTCATTAATTAAAGAAAATTAAGATCTTTAAAATGACACTTAATTGTTCTAGTTTGCTCATCCGGCTGCTGGAGACCATAATTTGCTTTGGGTGAGTGTCTTTTAAAAACACAAAAGAGAGATGTAATAAATTATGTACCCGAGGTACACAGTACTCAGCCATCCGTGTGAACAGTGCTGGCATGCAAATTACTACACAGCTGTTAGCATGAATCAGTTTTCTATACACCGACAATTTTAATAATGACCACAAAACAATTAGTAAAAACCTGTTATTCCTATTGCAAAAACAGGACGCACTTCTTTACAAAAAGGGCTGTGGGTGGCCAGGACAAACTACATACCAATGTTATAGAAACTGATAACACCACTTAGGAACTAAAATCCAAATGATAAATACTGTATGATCCTAAATGGCCTCTTTGTGTTTGCTAAGTATGTTAAAATTAAATCTTACATATTTGCAGAAACCTAGAACCAAAGTTAAATACGAAATTCAACATTCAATGAAACACATTAAGTTGTGCATGCTTTGTTGGATATGGTGTCCTTGACTAGAACATTATAAAATTAGGCTAGTTATAGTTACAGTACATTTTACAAATTTCAAATCCTAGTCAAAATACAGACATCAAGTATATTTCATACTCGTTGCATTTTACTCCTGTTTCTTTGAATGCCCTAAAAGGGGGTTAAACGTACATTTTCAGAAGCAGTTGTAATCAATCTATTTCAGCCTTTAGCCTCTAACATATTTGGGACTTTTAAAATGTTTCAGGTTTGAAGGCTTTATACACAACATTTTTAACAGGATAGTTTACCAGCTATCACCATCTGATTAAAAAAAAACTCATCCTGCTTTTTAAAACTGTTTGACATTTCAAGATCCAGAATTGTAATTGTGGTAATCTTATTTTACAGCATACATGCTTAACAGGGATTCTGACCTTCAGTTCAACTTATGTAGTGCTTATGATCTGTGGCCGGAGCACAATTAATATTTTCCTTCTCTTGATTTGCTAAGGACATGGCTCAATGCTGGAAGTTTCGTCCTTAGCACAAGACAAAAATCTCCAATAACAAAAATTTCCTTGCTAAGAGTGGGGAAAAAACCCTTATCACCCAACAGTATCTTACCAAAGCATGTCTGGAATTCTCCTATTAGGACACGTGGGGGTCTGTGAAAGTGACTTTGTACTGGGAGAGCTCAAACTGCATGAGTGAAACAAACCTCAATAGGGTCATCTGGTTTCTCTTCTTGCTGTTGGGAGTCTGGGACAGCATCCTGCACTCTTCTCTCTTGGCTCTCCTGTAATGCACAGCACACAGTCAGGGAGGAAATCCGGCCCTTAAACACCTCTGTCTCCCAGCGTGGAAGGTTTTCCCTGATAATATTGCCATAATCGTAATCTGGAGATTACGTGTGATTGCTCACACCTGAAGAAGGCTCCACGGCTGAAACGTTGTGTTTTTTTTCTTCTTTTTTTCAGCATGGAATAAACCTATTACTTGTTCCTTTGCAGCCTACGCATGCTGATGCAGCTACCCATGTAATCTGGAGATGCTTATGAATGTGGAAAAGAAGTAAAACTAAAAACCTTACTGCAGAAATTACTCTCATGTACGGAAACAGATATCATTGCATCATTATTTATTATGTAATACGTAACGCATAGCAAGCAAGATGTGCTGTATAAAAAATCAAGTCTAGTTTAAATCCATCACAGGCCAGATTAGGAATAGAAAAAATATGTTTTAAATAGACATTAATCTGGCCAAGAGTAGGATTGGCAGGAGATCATCATCCATAAAAAGTCATTTTATACATCAGAAAGACTTTTATCTGGTTTGTGATTGAGCCTAGTGGACTGGGCGATCTTTCTACACTTGCGCCAAGCTATATAAAATGTAAATTTTATTAAAAAATATATATAAAATTGGAAATTTAGCCGAGGCCCTACATGGTAAATGTTTTATGGATCACAAGACTGAGCTTTGATCAAATCTGTCAAATTACCGGTGAAAGAAAAAAAAATTGTAATCATTGCAAGAGGTGAACAGTAAATCTAAATACGTTGTATATCTGTATCTTATACAATGTATCTTAAATACAAATATCTTAATATATTATACGTATATACTAATGGATAAAAGAAACGCAACATTTTCAGTAATGAGAATACTATAGTTATAGCTTATATACTTTCACAAAAAGTTGTCCATTTGTTTTAAGCCCTCTGACCAGCAATACAGCTTGTGCAGTGAGGCACTGCAACTTGCCAATCACACGAAAGCTCGTTAGGTGACTTTTACCCCAACGAGGTCCAGGTGGAACAATGCCTGATTAGGTCACCCTTAAAAAGGCCTTAATTCAAAGCTTAGGTCACTGCAAGAAAAAGGACACTACTCCACTGTGTCCCAACAGGTTTGAGTGACCACACCAGAGCAGGACCGCCACATCAGAATGGTCCATCTGAGAGATCATTTCAGATCTGTCACCTGTACGGCTGCTTAAACTGCCAGCAGACACAATGCCCATATCAGTGACAGAACAGTGAGGCTCCATGCTGCTGGCCTTTGAGCAAGGCGACTTGTCAGAGGCCCTCTGCTCACACCTCCTAGACATCACACTCGACTGGCTTGGGCCAGACAGAGTTTGCGATGGACTCGTCAGCAGTGGCATCAGATCCTCTTCCCGGACGAGTCACTCTTCAGCCTGTTCCACGCAGATGGGAGGGCCAGAGAGTGGAGGAGGAGGTGTTGCGTTTCTTTTTTCCCCATCAGTATATACTGTATAAGATATAACAATATTTCTTAAATATATATATATATCCGAAAACAATATTGTAATACTATAAGCTGTAACGTTATCATTTCACCTGGCTTTTGAAGATAAGCAAGCAAGAAAAAGAGGCAATGATCTAGAGAAAACTTTCTAACCAGTAGGTCTTAATGAATCATCAAAGTGGGGTGGCACCTGCTGTCAACTGAAAAGGGAGACAGGATGAAAAGTGGCATGCCTGGTATTATTTTAATTCCTCCGCAAAGCGAGCTTTCAGAAAACAAGCAATGATGACAAATGTTTTTGTTAAAGTGTCAATTTTTTAAAAAAAAGACCACTGTCCTTTGTTATTGACAGAAAATTAACCCTTTATCATCCAAATTAAGTTTTATTGTTTATGTATCCTCTATAAAATTACAATTACATTAAAAGCTTGTAAAGTGAACCTCTAAAAGTCTAGGATAAGCCTAAAAAACGAATAATGATGACTAATAAATATATGCATAGTAACAAACATAACAATCTGCTTGATTTTTGAAAATCAGATTAAATTTACCCCCCCCCCCCTCCACGAATAAGAGTTAGCAACAAGAAAAAATATCCTTCCTGGACATTTGGATGCATTACATCGATAAAGATAAGCTGAAGTTGCACAGTAAACAGAACCACAAAGGAAGTCAAATATCATGTTCTGCATCTTGCAGAGTGTTGAACTTGCCCAGAAATGCAAAACACACTTTGCACACGATTTCACCTAAAATCAATTCAGTGTTTGCTGGGTAAAGTCCTAAGTCCTAAGGACAAGTCTGAGGCTAGGGACTCAATGTTGTGAGCTGCTTGTGGATTCAAGGTGGTACAGAAGAAACGTTTTCTGCCATCACATAAAAGAAAATGATCACCACTGTGACCAATATGATCCAAATATCCAGCTCATTATCTTCTGTTCCTTAGCAATGATGCAGCATATCTGTACAGAGGTCTGTAAAGGCATGATGACTATGTAATGGCCAGACTGAACACAGTAGTGATCATCCCTTAGAGCTGTAGTCCAGAGTTGTGTAGTCCACATTAGTGATTATCTTGCATAGTGAAGGCATCCTCATACCACCTCTAATGTTATTCTAGTGTTATGTAGTGAAGTAGCTAAGTAGCAAAGTAGCTAAGACTACATGTCCTAGCTACATGTGTTTATTACTACATAGCCAGCAGCCATATCACCCTGCAACTCACAACTGGCAACCCACTGAAGCAAAGCAGGTGTGAGCCTGGTCACTACCTGGATGGGAGACCTCCTGGGAAAAACTAAGGTTGCTGCTAGAAGAGGTGTTAGTGGGGCCAGCAGGGGGTGCTCACCCTGCGGTCCATGTGGGTCCTAATGCCCCAATATAGTGATGGTGACACTATACTGTAAACAGGTGCCGTCCTTCAGATGAGACGTACAGTAAAATGGAGGTCCCGACTCTCATTAAAAATACCAGGGGGCTTCTCGAAAAGAGAAGGGGTGTAACCCCGGCGTGCTGGCCAAATTTCCCATTGGCCCTTACCAATCATGGCCTCCTAATAATCCCCATCTATGAATTGGCTTCATAACTCTGCTCTCCTCCCCACTGATAGCTGGTGTCTACTATTGCTGCCATCGCATCATACAGGTGGGGCTGCACATTGGTGGTAGAGGGGAGTCCCCATTACCTGTAAAGAGCTTTGAGTGGAGTGTCCAGAAAAGCGCTATATAAGTGTAAGCAAATATTATTATTATTAATAAGAAAGAAAATTCTTAATTTTTAAGCAAAATCATCTCACAGCAGTTCCACTCCTGTTGTAATTTCTGGAGGATCTATAGTCCTAGAACCTTCAAACATCAAAATCCATAACTCCAGCTGCAGGGGCACAGAGGATGTGACTGAACAAGTTTCTTTTTTTTTTGCTTCACTGCTAAAGAATGTGCAAGGCTCTCCAAGGAAATACCATCAGCATCTTCTGCAGAACATTCCAAGTGCACACAACAGCTAGATGAGGGTGCGTTTCAAAGCCGGGCGTTTGGGAGCGTAGCACGGCCTGACACGTCAGTAGGGAGTATCTTGTGGCAAGGGGCTGTACATGCAGCCCGGTACCTGAACTTCACGCTGTGCAGAAATGCACACAAACAGGGTCGTCTTAAGGAGCTCAGCAGTAAAGCAAAAGCCCTCTCTTTCAAACAATGTATCCAGGAAGCAGCATGATGACAAGCAAAATGAGCTAGACTTAGGACTTCCTACTTTTTAAATATTTGATCAAGGAGGTGATAAATCCAACTGCTCCCTTCACAGCACATTCCACATCATGGACCACACACTGTAATCATTGTATATTGACTGGTTTCACTGAATGCGTGGCCTTGAACCACTTTCATTTTTCCCTCTTGGGGGTAATATAGTCTACAGAAAAGACCTACTTAAGTGTTTAGTTCGCTGAAACTCCAGAAAATGAAGCCATAGAATTTAAGTACCATACTCTTGCCACGAATGTCAGCAAACATGTGTCAGCAAACCCACCTCCTGGGGCATCCTGAAGCACAAGGACCTCTCTCTCATTCCCACAAGAAAAAAATATCTTGTGCCACATAAAGTGTAACCCCACAAAACTGATTAAAATCATGAAATTTTTTTTTTTAGAAACACTGGCATCTACTGTATTTGCTTATGTTAAGTATGAGTAGTTTTCTAAGCAGAAGATTTGTGTAGTGTAGGAATTAACAATTACAGAGAAAGAAAATAAATGGTAATCCCTATACTGTAACTAAGGCATACTTTAGCTATTGGAAAGGCTTTACACATTCTTTGAAGTGCATCATTAACAGCTGAGCCAACAACTCTTTTGTTAACAGGAGGAAAAAAATCTGCTTCTGTTTGGCTACAGCGCACAAAATTTTAAATAAAAAGCACAAGGAATTCATCATCTGATATTTCAGGTTAGCCCCAATCAGTAGATGTGCACATCCAAGACATTTACATACAGTATATCAGTGCGCCTGGAATAAATTAAAATGTATGATGCCTTTAGAAGGGCAGTACAGTGGGGCAGTGGTTAGCATTGCTGCCTTGCAGTGCTGGGGCCCAGGGTTCGATTCCTAAGCTGTTCTGCCTTGGAGATGTCCTCCCCATGTTCACGTGGGGTTCCTCCAGGCCAGTACCTACTGGTACCGCTGGTTAACTGGCTTCTGCAAAACCCGGCCCTGCCGCGAGTGTGTGCAAGTGTTTGATAGACTAGCGTCCTACCCTGGGTGTATACTGCCTTTTGCCAGTGCTTACCTGGATAGGCTCTGGCTCCCCCTCTACCCTGTATTGGATGCAAATGGATGGGTAGGCTCCTTAAGAAATTAGTATACATTAAATTGTACTATGATTAGTCCTGCATAGTTATTTTAAAAAACAACACCTATAAATCATTTTTCTTCCATGTCAAACAATATGCAGAATGCAGACAAAACTGTGCTGAGAAGTGGTTAAATTCAGATTGTTAAAGGCTGGTATGTTCTGAATCAATGTGATACTGGGGAAACTTATGTGAAAAGAAGTATCGGCTTTCCTTCATTAGCCTGTGCCCATTTTAAATTTTACCTGCAAGTCAAACATTTCAAAGAAAAAATTGGAAAATAATGATACTGAGGGGAGCATTTATAGGGTACTTAACCAACTCAAAATTTCAGTACTGAACCACATGTAGGAAAGAGAAACCCTAAGACAGTTTGACCTCCACATTACATTGCTCAGGACCTACTGAGAGTTCCAGGTCTCCAGGTTCGTAATCCATCTGAAGAACCGGGAAGGACAAGTTAGTCTGGACTGGCTTAATACCTCTGCATACTGTATATGAAACTGCTCAGAACTCAAGACACCTGAAATCCTGTAAGGCTGCTTTTATTATTATGTCTGCTGAACTTCAGCCTCTTGCACATTATCATTATATTTTCGTCAAGCAAATCTGCTTAAAAAGAGATTTTAAAATGCACAAATGGGAAATGTGAGTATGTTCTTTGCTCTGACGCAGAATGATTAAAGCCCAAAGATTAAGATAAAAATGTTCCATTTTATTGTAGTAGTAGAGATAGCTTGCATTAGAACTACTGTATATCTTCCTATGGAGTTTAAACAGATATACATGAAAAGCACTGCAGCAAAAAAAAGAGTGCATTGCATAACAATTATTCTGTACTTTTCCTTTCACCTCTGTTTGTACCTTGAGGGCAATTCAATATGATGTATCTGCACACACCAGCAGCAAAGCATAATGCCTGACAGAGAACCAGTCATTTCTTGAAAGCTGCTTAAAAACGTTTCAGTCAAAACAAACATTTTCTGGCTTTCTGGCTAGCAGCCTTGAAGTGAGATCTGATAACCTTATTCCTGTATATTGCGACCTCTTTAAAAAATCATCAAGGTCATTCCTCTATGGAAATGAACCGTTTTTAAAAAAGTACACGTATACTAAAACAAAATCAAACCTCAGGCACAAAGGTACTGGGCCTGAAATTCCTGCAGTTGAGGTGTCTCATTCATACTTCTTAAAGCTGAAATACAGTCAAGAGAATACTGCTTCTTCTTTTGGAATGTGAAGCTACAGTATACTTCACTTGAGTCAAGCAATAATGAGGTGGACTGTGACGAGTTAATAAATGGAATATTTATTTTCTTTAAAAAAATCAATGTCAAAGCGTCTTGAAAACTACAACAGCACTGTTTCAATACACGACTTCCAAACCTTCACTTTCAGCACTTTTGTCAAGACTTTAATCACACAGTTGGGAGCACACTTGCGAAAGAGGGCGCCACTCCTTCACGACCACCCTTGGAGTCAGTAATTAACACATTAATTTGCGACAGATTCCGCGCCCGCCTGACTTCACCACCCAAACAGTTTGACTTAAAGAACATTCTAGAACCAGTAGGGAGGAAAGACAACGAAAAAAAAAACCTTCTCCGGCATGTAAAGTGCTAATACTAAAGAACAGTTTCAGGTTAATTTGAAAACAGGAAGGTAATGTTTGCCTCGGGTATACATAATGAAACACAACTACATTTGTATACATGCAGCCCTAATATACTGTACATTGTCTAGTTCCTTAAAGAAA